TTTTTTTGGAAGTTGGCAATGGGGAAACGCAGAGGTTAGTTACGCGGTACGCAGAGTCGCTGGTGGCAAGCGTACGCGCCTTCATGACGTATGTGTACTCCAAGTTTTTTGGAGCCTTGTATCGTCGAGAGTCGATAGGTATTTGTTTTGGTTAAAAATGTCGTAACAATCGAAGGTTTCGAATGGAACAAAGGCGAGAGGGGTTTCGTCACGAGGTCGATTCTACGATAGCTACGATTCGATCTCTGATGACGTAGCTCGTCGACGCTCATTCGCAATATGCGATATATATCGATATCGAGTATTGAGGCGGTTATTAGTTATTACTTGAAAGAGTGTCATGTGTGGAATTATCGCTGCAATAGTTGCAATATCGCGTTTCCCTTTCACTTTTATAATTTATCGAACGCTGAAAACGATATTGTCGTACGTATCATACGTGCACGTTGCAAAAAAACCGATGAAATGTTCCCGAAAGCGGAACAACAACTACCGTCGAATTTTTGAGGTTAGCTTTGAAAATCCTTCGTTACCGACTCAGCCGCATGGTGCAAACGGATTTACAACGGGTTACATCGTGCCCCGGTAAAAGACAGTTGTTGAAACGTACTCACCGAATTCGCCGCGGACGCCAGTGATCTGAATTGTGTCGAAAACGTCGAGAAATCCGTAGGTGTGGCTCCGTGATGCCGTAGATCGTGGCAAGCTACGTCGCGCGGCAGCGCCTCTAGCGGCGGAAATAAAAGTTACTGGTACATAGTGGTTCTCCCCTCTCGCGTTTTGGAGCGGGGCCGAGGTGGTTAGGGACCCCGCCTCCTTTCTCGACCATCTCTTACGCGCGCGAGCGCAACGTCAGTCCCTCGGGCCCATCGACGAACTTTCGTCGCATCTTTCCGGTCATTCGCGAACCGCTCCTGTTTTTTTTTCCATTTTTTTCCCTCTTTCTCTCTCTCTCTCTCTCTCTCTCTCTTTTTTGCGTGCGCGAGTGAGAGAGGTCACAGTGACGTAAAGGAGAAACGCGTTAGTGGCAAAGTGTGCGGATCACGTTGGAGAGCGGTCGGTGCATCCAGCGACGTGGAGTGGTTGTCATTGCGCCGCCGCTAACCTCTCTACCAGCCCCTTTGGCCGTTGTTGTCGTTGTGCCGAATCGACAAGTAGCCGAAGAAAAGCGACGGTTGCGGAGAATCTCGTCTCTCCGATCTTGCTCGTTCGTGCATGCGTACGCGTCGCGCACTTTCTTCCCTGTCCTCCTGTGTGATTTCCATCGCTCCGACAGTAACGTTTCTTCCCCCCCCCTCCCTCCCCCCTCCCACCTTCTCTTTCTTTTTCTCTGTTTTTGTTTTCGACGTTTTCGTCCGGTCTCCGCGACTCGCGCATTCACGGTCGGTAAGGTGAACGCGGACGTGTACGCGGACGCGAGCGCGGAACGCGAACGCGAGTACACAGTGTGGAAGAAGTGAAAAAAGAAGCCGGTGAAGAGAGGGCAAGAGGCAAAGCATAGCAAGGAAGAGCTGGCAAGCGAGGAAACGAGAACGAGTGGCGGAGACGAGAGGGAAAGAGGACTACTACTCCTGGGGCCCCCCACCACGCGGGCTGCCGCCGCGACGCCAGTCCGTAGTCAGTCAGCGCTGGACCGCCGCCCGCTCGATTTCGCGATCCACGAACGACGGTAGCCACCACTTCCACCTCCACCTCCTCCTCCACCACCTCCGCTTCTTTTCTCTTTACCTTGCTCACGTTCTTGCCCTCTACCCCTGCATTCTTTCTCGCTCTTTCTTTCTCTTTCTCTCCCCCCCTCCCTCCCTCCTCTCTCACTCTCTCTCTCTCTCTCTCTCTCTCTCCCCCAATCTCTTTCTCTCTTCACTGGTATCTATCCATCCGTTTCTTCTTCGTCCGTCTGTCTTTATCTTTCGCGCAGCGAATTTTTTTTTATAATCCCTTTCTCTTTTCCACCCTTGCGCTTTCGATTGGTCTCCAAGGTATACATGCACACGCATTCACACGCGCACGCATACTCACACGCACACACATACACACGGGCACGCACGTAAATGCGATCGCGTATCGGTTTTCTCCCCTTGTTTCTCTTGCTCTCTTCCATTTTCCTCTGTCGAGCGAGCTTTCGCTAGCTCCGTACGTACGAACGTAAGTACGTACGGCGGAGTGTCGTGCGCGCGTCTCGAGTGGATGCAAGGCGTCGTCGCGAGGCACACGTCCCGGTAGATAAGTTATCGCGCGATCGTAGGAATTCTCGATCCTCCCCCATCGTGGAGGATCGAATTTCGCCGCGAGCAGCCACTCGTTCCTCCTCCGTTTCCGAGAGCCACGCGGCCGCGGGGTCTTCGTCTTTGTTCTTCGTTCGTTCGTTCTCGTCGGTGCCGCCATTCAAAAGAACCGCGACGCGCGAAGTGAACTCGCGAGATCGGCCTTCCTCTCGTTTGCCGAGTGACCGATAACGCGTGACCACGTCGACCAAGTGCCACGTTTTTTCCCACGACGAATAACGCGCAAGGAGGAACGAACGATCGTTTTCCACCGGTGTCCCCCTCGCGACGCGCGACTTCCAGAAGACGCCACGTTTTCTCTCACTTTGTCTCCTTTTCCTCTTCTTTTCTTCTACTTCACCTTGAATCTCTCGTAGGTGCGGCTTATCTGCGACGTTTCTAACCAGGCGTGCGTTCACCTGCGTTTCCAAACAGTGACAAGTACACCGCAAGTTGCGAAATCGTGAATTCACGATCACGCCAGTGATGGATACAAGAGCATAGTAATCGCAGTTGATGGATCGTGACTCGCCCGATATCGCGTATCTGGAGACTCTTGCCAGGAGATCAAGTGCGATCAAGTGCGCGACATTCCGTGAATGTAACTCCGATCGAGACGAAACTGAAGAATATTAGTCATCGTCGTCGTATACGATATAGCCAGTATAATAGCTGCCTGATAGTTGTTCGTGGTTTGTACCGAGTAGTGTACCAAGGGCACCCGACGTTGGTGCTGTTCGTCGTAACGGGAAAGAAAGATACATGTAAACCGAGAGAACGAGAATGACACCGATCACAACGACGAAACGACGATCTGCCGAAGTCGCGACGATGAGGTAGTGCTCCGCTGCGTACGCGCGTGTGGGTGACTGTAGTGCATCGCTTCGGTAGAGAAGGGAAGCTACGAAACAGTTTCCCGCGGAAGATCTACGCCGGATCTTCGAACCGAGAGATATCGACACACACGACCGTCACATGTTTGGGATCCGATCGACTGCGTCTAACGAGCGAAGACCTGGAGGCCACAGAGAGAATCGAGCATCCCCGAAGGACGCAGATGCCCCGAAGGAAACAGCACGCTCCACAACGTATGAAATGTAAGTGAAATTCTCTGCTGTTTACACGCCTGTCGTTGTCGACGCGAACAGAGAAGATTCCGAAACGATGGAATTTAGCTAACTGGAAAATAAATTCGCAACGATAATTTTTCACGCGACAGCCGGAAGCTTGCCGTGTCGACGAATGTTTCCGAAATGTTTCCATAGTTTCCAAATCTTGATGTTCTTCTCGCGCGTGATGTACACGGGACGCCACGTGGAAGCGCGTTGCTCGATGGTTCTACGACTCGTTCATTCTCTCGATGAAACAATCTCTCTTTTTTCCACGGTCAAGAGAGTCTGTGGCTAATGAAGAGATTAATTCTATCGTATTCCATACGTCCCTAGTTTCCTTTTGCGTTATCCTTGGGTACGAGTTACCGAACCTACGTTAAATTGATCCTTAAGCATCGGTTAATCGAAACTGACTATATACAAAGTTTGAGAGGGAATCCTCCAATATCCAAAGAATCTTGAACCGTGGAACGACGTGAATTATCCATCCTTGAAAATCTTCGTTCCGTTTTGAAAACGACTATCGGCATACAGGTATCGGCAATAATTTTGCTAGTTGTGATTGTTGGCGTGCGCTGCGCAACGACGATGAACGATTAATTCATAAAAGTTCACTGAAAGTTTTATCCGGTGGGTGAAAAAAGACGGAAAATTTGAGGGGAGGGCGAGGAAAACCGACGAAAACCCGCCACGGAAATGGAGGGCAGATTCTCGACGTGATTTCGTGAGTGACGGTAGAAAAAAACAGCCGTCAAACAGCCAGTGGATTCGGCTGGGTTTGAATGCACGACGCGCGCCATGCTGCTTTTCCCACGTGGGGAGCCATGAGGCGTAAACAAACTCGCCCCTGGTGGAGGACGCCATCTTGGTGAAGTTCTGCCGGAAACATTTACAATTCACTCAACTTGCCCTACCGAAACTCGGCCAAGCGCCGATAAATCTCGTTGTGCGCGCGCGCGGATACACGCCGCGTACATAAATCCACGGCAGTCTACGGAGTTTCGGCGCCGTAAACGCCACAGTTTTTCGCCAGCTTCCGCGGCGGTGCCGGGGCTTCCGACCGAGTTCACCTCCCGATGACGATTTTTTTTTTCCTCTCTTTCTCTCTCACTCGAATTCTCTCCTTCGTCGATTCGCTTGTCAAACGTCAAACCCTGGGTTGAAATTCGTCGAGTTTTACGGCCGGCGGAATTTTCCGTTTCCTTTGAATTTTCGGTTCGCGTTCACAGTTCGACAGGTCTCCCCGGAGGAGAACAACGGGAGAGCAGAAGAAGGCACAGACACCCCGAAAATATAATTTTAGAAATTTGTTCGGTAAACTTGTTGGCTTCATTTTGTTACGGTACTTGGGCGTCCGAATACTCTGATATTTCTGACGTTCTGTCCTCTCAATATTCCATCGTATCGGCTGCTAATGATTTTCACAATGTTCTTCGCGAGGAAAGAACTTGCCAAAGCATGATATGCAAGACCGGTGTAAACGTGCGAGAGATTTTTTGGTAAATCATCGTTTTGTCACCATCGAGACATTGAAACACTAGAAAGATTTGTTTAACTTGATGTCAATACCCAACTATCAAAACAGGATGACAGAGTTTCTTGATTCACTTACCACTTGGGTACATGGAAAATTTAATATCAGAGAAATAGTTGTTTCCTATCATCCGACACTTCTACTAACCAAATATTATATTTTTTTTTTCTTGGTCTCTCTTTTAATTCAGATATTGGAGACTCTGCTGTCTAATTATTACTGTATTTTTATAATAAAACAAGCTAGACAGACGGAAACGTTATTAAGAAAATTGTACGAAATACACACACGATCAAACTCAATAACTGTATATAGGACAAATAGTCTATATTATTGATTCTCCTCTCTGCTAGTAATTTTTCGTTTATATAGAAATTTAGATTCAATCAAGGATAGTTCGTTTGATCGGGTTGATTGGCTAAAAATTTCGTTCAAATAGGTTCTACTGTATACCTACGAGTATACAAATTATAGTAAAATATTACGTACAAGTACATATACTGCCCCGAGCGTCTCTTAAGTTTTCTTACCTAGTTTGTCACAAATTTACGATTTACTACATGGAAACTCGGAGAGAAATCCGCATTGTTCGATGGTCAGCTGTACAAGATGATTAAAGTTTTCCTCATCGACTTGACGAAACGGAGCGCACGCCATGAAACCGTCAGTCAGCGAAAGTAGACGCGAATAGATTAAGAAAACGACGAGACACATACATACATCCTTCTTGCGCTGGATCTTGCGCTAGTCGGGCTAATTTCACCGTCTAATTTATGACGTCCTCGGTGAAAGGACCCGCGAGAGAAACACGCCAATCCGAACGAATCGATCTCCCGTCTATCGAGTTCGCCATCGAGCGCGCGACTGCCATTCCAAGGAAGTTAATTAGCAGTATATTACCTCGCCGTTAGATCTTGGTCGCGTCGTGGCGGGCGAGATTCTTGGTAAAATTACGAGATCTGGACGAGATATCGGTCGGGAGCGCGCGCGCGTTACAGCGTTGTCCGCTTTGAAATTGGAAAAAAGTCGCTCGAAGGCACGACACGAACCGAATTCGAGGCTCGACGATTTTTCCTCTGGCTGGGCGTTCGGCTTCGGTACGTCTCGATAAAACGGATCGTGTCGGAGTAATCGGTTGCAGAAGGCCCGGCATTATTTATTGCCGCTCTTTTCGACCGGAGGAACGACGGGTGATTCAAGATCGCGTTAGTCTAACGCGTTGGCTATTTATCAGAAAATTCGTGGCCGGCGCAACAGGTGCAGTTTCGAGGTGCATCTTCCCTTCTTAATGCCCGAAAAAAAAAAAAGTAAACTTCGCTCGCGTAATTTGATCTCGCGGCAACGGCAACGGCGGCGGCGGTGGTTTTCGATCCGTGCGCCCGGAAGGTGGAAAATCGCAAACCATACGACGAGAGAGGTGCGACGACGATTCAGCCGAACGTTTTTAAAGGCGAACGCGTACTCCGTGAACGCGAGTGTCGCCGCGGCCTTTTTAATATCGTCGAGTGATAGAGGGAGGTGAGAGGATAGATCGAGGGAACGAACGTTCCGAGGGAAGAAGAGGAGGCTCGATAGCGGCGCGCTAATTATAAAGCGTCGCTCGAATAGCTTCGGAGGACACGGATCAAGTTGGCCACGCCGTTTTCGCGCGATCTACACCGCTCCATTCATAAAGCAGGAAGAGTGCTTTAAGTTGGCGCACGCGCGTCGTCCAAAACAGCGCCGTCGTCCGTCTTCGCTACCAGATATTTTCGGCGGTCCGGAATTATAAAGCCAGCGCGGCACACTATACGGTTTCATCCGCAGAGACCTGCCACGAGACTCGGTCGCGAGATTCGCCGGCGACCGAATGAAAATGATCGATTCGACGACAGACGGACCTCGGTGTGGTGCGTTCAAAGCCAAACTTCCAACGCAAGCAGGCTACCGATTATATTTAGAACGCCGATGGCTGTTGGCGATTCGTTAATAGCCGGTAATTTCCTTCCAATGTACTACCTTTCATCGATTTCGTCGTTTCCTCTTTTATCTGTTTTCTTTTTTTTCTTCCTGTTTGCCTGTTCTCCTGTATTCTTTCCTCGAATTTTATGCGAGTTGCCGGTTTTCGAAGGAACGTCGTCGTCGTCGTCGTCGTCGTCGTTTCGTCTCGCTCGGCTTTTTCTTTCCCGAAAGGGAGGTAGGAATAAAAAGGAGATGACGTTTCTCGTCTCATCTCTCTGCGTATACCTGGCCGGCAGGTTTGCGAAACGCGCGGGAAAAAAAAATTTACGATGGCTTCCGACGTTTGCTTGAAAGGACGTTGCAGGACATGCGGCGCGCACTCCCCATAGATATATACCTGCCTCTTCTCTTTCTCTCTTTCGTGCTCTCTGTGGCGCAAGGAGAAATTTCCAGTGCCTATCGGTGATGGTGAAAACCCTTGGTGACCCGTGGCGAACGACGCCCATTGCGCAAAACTTTCACCTCAAACAATGCCGACGCATTTTTCGGGCCCCGAAGCCTCGCTCACGTTCGCCGCCATAAATCCTTCAAAAACCCTGGTGGAAAAGGCGCTGTCTCTCTTCGGCCAGGTCGCCGGTATCACGCTGGAAGCCGGGAACCCGCATAAGTTGCACGGCTAAACACGGAAAATCCTCTGCGACGGTTTATCGTCGATGGCGAGCGACCTTCTTCTTCGGTAAGGTCGTTTCGTTTGAGAAAAAAGGCATGGGAACGTCGCCTCGCAGATTGAAGGATCGACGAGAAAGCGTGCGATTCCTTTTTACGAAAACCGGTCGATATATTATACATACATACACACACATATATATATATATATATTTATGCTAGATTGCTGACACATCGACGACAAATGCACAATCGTTTTAACGAATTAGCCATGCGTGAAAGATTCGAGTCCGGGGAATTTCCGCGTCACGCGCGTGCAGCCAACTTTCTAATCTGCTTTCGTTCTTTCCGGCGATCGTGATTTATTCGTAGCAAACGCCGAAAACGACGAGTGTCCGCGGGACAAATCGAGACCGCGCGAAAGAACTTGACCGTCTTCGTTGCGAATTTTTTTTCACCTCGGGGGGGATATCTTGAATAATGTGTCCGCGTT